TGTCGTGAGTACTTCGGGGTATATAGTATGGACCCTCCCACTTGGAGCCACGACGATGCTCTAATGGGAAGTTCGCATGATTGTCTAATTGTTGTCTGCTTGGGTGGCAAAATTATTCACAGATTAGGTTCTCTGCTTCTGAAGAAGGCTCTAGCCATTTCCTTGGATCCCGAACTAGCGTCCGATGCACGCTCTTCTTTTTCCCACACCAGTTCTGTTGATTTAGCAACAGTGTAAACTGGTGCCTATGTATTCCCATGTATTGACCTAGCTGCGTATCTCTCGGTCTATCTTCCTATCTGTCCTCCTACCTGGCTAGCTACCTATCTGTTTATCCATCTATTTAGCTATTTTGCCATCTCACCCTCATTCTCCCGATATATATATATATACACATACATCTCTATCTATATAGATACAGATATATATATATATACACACGCATATTTATTTGCATTTTCCATGTATGTGGGAGAGGGAGACGGAGGGAGAGAGAGAGGGATAGAGCGAGAGGGAGAACACCAAAGCCACACGCACACACAGACAGGGAGAGTATATCCATCCGGAGTCACGTCAACATGAATTGGTTAGCACATGCAGACGTACACACATGCACAGACAAATAGAAACAGTCGGGGCTGACCGGCCGCGAGACAGAGCAACATACGAGCATAAAATCATGCACGCGATGCTCGCCTGCATCGTAAATCCTTCCCAGAGAGCCCAATACCCCTTAATTAAGGAATATATGCCGTAAATCATATAATATTAAGGCCCCTATAATTTAAGGTATATATTCCTTAATTCGGGGGTACATTGGGCTTTTTGTGGGCTAATCCCAGGGGTCCCAAGACCCAGGTCCCAAAGTGAGGGAGGATGGGACGGAGCGCGAAGATCCCAGGCGCGAAAGTGCGTGGCGATTGGATGCGTTTGGTTAGCTTCTTTAGGTTTTCATAGAGGGTTTAGGGTTTGGGGTTTAGGGTTTAGGGTTTAGGGACTACTTTAAGGCCTAAGTATCTCTATTTGGGCACATGGAATGGTTTTCATGCCTGTGGAGTTTCCAGTTTATGGTTTTTGGGGAGGAGTTGCAAGGCTCTCCAGGTCCTCATAGGCTAAGGCAGTTAGGGGCAATGTGAACGGTTTGCAAGCAAGGGGGAGGCCTTATCCGTAAGGATCCGATCTTTCTCTTTGTTGGTTCCTTAGGGCCTTGCATTCCGGGTACTGCAGCTTGGTGATATTAGACTTTGATGTCCAACAGAACATGACATGCACGAGCTAATACCATCTTGTTCATTCAAGAGCGCTCGCCATGCCGTCCTACTTCGCAGGAACTTACCCGGGTCTTGATACGGTTTGTTGCGAGGCGCTGCTACCCATCACAGCTGCGACGACTTACGTCACGTCTCTACCGACAGGTGCGCGGCCTTCTGCTCAGTAGGATCTGCCTTTTCACAGAACTCCGTAGGACCGGAATCTTAGTCAGCCTCCTGAGACTTGACAGAAGTGAACACTGGACTTTTCAGGTAGGGCTCCAGCCTTTTGAAAGCGCTTGGAAAGCAACAGCCCCGAGGCCCAAAGAGTTTGGGACCCCGAGTCTGCAACCTTGCCTTTTGATTTGGGAGTTTCCGAAGATAAGGGGTACCTCAATTTGGGGTCCTCTTTTGAGGATCCTACTGCTTGGGGTACTATTTTAGAGCCCCCTCTATTTTCGAAAACCCCCATTTCTGAAAACTTAAAACCCTCCATCGAAGCAGTCGGGAATGCTGAGTCACTGTCGGGCTCCAGCGTGGAGTATAGTGTAGTACGCAGACCCTTAGGTAGAAGCCCGACGCAGGATGTGGCTTAGTGGCATGATGCGCTTGGTGAACTTTCACCTGGGTGCCTCCTTATACGTTATGGCCAAGGTGGCAGTGGATGGTAGCTTTGAGGGCATCTTCATTCTGCTCGGGGGCTGTGCTCTGCTAACTCTGTTGGTGTATGAGAACCTGGCCGATGTTGCCTTGGCGGTCAACACAAATACCCAGGTGCCGGTGAAGGCATCTTTGTGCGGCCTCGTGTCTCAGACACTGGGGCCCCGCACAGCAGTTTTGTTGCGGATGCTGGTGGTGTTGAATGCCTTTGGAGTTTTCGTGAGCTATGGAAAGACCATCATGGATGTCTATGATGCTGTCTTGCAAGAAGGAGCCTCAGCTGCTGCCCAGGGAATAGGAGCCGTTTGCGTGGGCTGCGTGGGGGTATTGATCTTCTGTGGTGGCCACATTGACGGCTGGGATAGTTTGCTGGCAAACGGCACCTTGCTCTTCCTCCTCGTCGCTCTCTTCCTTTTGGAACCAGTGCCGGCACCCGCATCAGTTCCAAAGCTTTGGGGAGAGCTGATCGAGTCGTACGGCCCCTCCTTGGTGTTCGCATTCAGCAGTGCGGAGTATGTCCTTTTTGCATGTGGTGTCGTGAATGAGAGTGGTGACTTCATTCGAGGGGTGCCTGTTCATCGCAGGGTCCGGATAATTGGCTCAAGCTCCGTGCTGATCTCCTACGCTTTGTACTTGGCTGTCGGCCATGGGGGTGCGAGGGCATTCGGTTCGGGCGTCGAAGAGGACATCTTGAAAAACTTCGCGCTGAAAGAGTCGAAACACGAGTTTCTTTCGGCCGCGGTGTTGGCAACGAATGGGGCGTCCTTGCTGTTGTCATTGCCGGTCTTCACAGAAACCTTCCTGCAATACATCAGGGAGCTGCTTGAAGACCTGCTGCCTGCAAGACTTTTTCAGCAGGCATCTCGGAGCAGCCTCTTTGTACACCTGGTGAATCCCAGAAGGCCGTGGTTTGGAATGGCCTGGGTCTTGCCTGTTGCTTTAATCGCCGCCCACCGTGCCAGCAGTCTCATAGATGTCATCAACCTGATGAGCTCCTGCACTGACTATGCCTTCATGTTTGTTTTTCCCAGTCTTGCCTTCTGTGCCGCTGTTCCGTGGAGCAGGCGCCCCATCCGATGGACGCTGAACGTACTCCTGGCTATCCTGGCTTGCTGTCTCGGGTCTAGGTCTTTCTACAACGAGCTCGCACCGCCCAGGCAGATTGTACCAAGCCCAGGTTCTGGAACAAACCTGTGAGCCCAAGGTTTGGGACCGGAAGCCCTGAGCCCTGAACTCTATCAGAAGTGGCACCGTTGCACTTGCAAGACGTCTGGACAGTCACTGTGACCCCACTCACAGGCAGGTGACCTCGATTCACGTTTGTGCAGCTCGGCGAACTGAACTGATTCGTCATGTAGGGTCCTGATATATCCTCATCACAGGCCCGAGCAATGCAAGAGGCCTTAACCCTAAGATCCCTAAACCCTAACCCAGAGAGCCCAATACCCCTCAATTAAGGAGTATACATTAAATTATAACGGCCTTAATATTATGATTTAAGGTGTTTTCCTTAGTTAAGGGGTGTTGGGCTCTCTGGGAACCCCTAAAAAAATCCCTAACCCCTAAACCCCTAAATCTCGGACGTCCATCGCCATGCCTGCTTTGCGAGTGTTTGAGTCGAAACCCCTAAACCCCCCTAAACCCCTTAACCCCCAAAATCCCGAACCCTTAAATCCAAGCCTGGGGAGGGCCCCAGCCGCTAGGAGAAGCGGAAGTTCTTCGCGCCCTGGCGACCGGGAAAGTCCGGGCCTCACCGGACAGGGACAGCTAGCATTGAAATGGCAGCTGTGGTGTTTTAGAGTTAAGGGGTTTAAGAGTTTAGGGTAGAGGGTCAAGAGCAGCGTGGTTTTTTAGAGTTTAGCGTATAGGGTTTAGGGTATAGGGTTCAGATTTTAGGGTTTGTAGTATCCTAGGGTGTAACTTGGCTTTAAGGTTTCGGTATAGGAGTAATAGGAGACCTTGTAAAAGCTCTTTAGGAGCCCTTAGAAGAACCTCGAAAGGAACCGCTACAAACCCCAACAGTCCGAAGCTTTGCACCCCATCGAGGTGATCCAACACAGTAACCTTAATCATCAGAAGAAGGGTTTTTGGAGGGGGTGATAATCTGGTATTGGTATTACTTGTAGTTCACGTGACGATGTTCCAGGCGCCAAGCGTTCCAAGTACTCTGTCTGCATAATTGCAGCAATGGGGGAGGTCAAGACATCGTTTCTCCTCGCCTAAGAACGAAGATGAATGCAATAACCAGTGCAGCGCCGATCACAGCTATGATGGTTCTTCGTCACAGCGCCCGTCCATCCGAAAGCCATCGCCTTCGTCGGCATGTCAGCAGGGGCAGGATCACAGCGGTTGGTCTGATGATCCAACAGAGTTTTCAGGACGTTGAGGAAGTTGAGGGTCGGAAAGTTCAGTGGCTTTTTTCTGAATTCACTTACGTTACTGCTTGATTCGAGGCATGATATTGAGTTAGGTACTATTACATATTAGTGCTGCCTTTTCTGACGCTGCCAGCTGAATATGTCTCAGACCAAAGGATTCGACAGGCCATGGTTTCACAGTTTGTATTGGTACTGATGTCAAAATCCAGCAAGCTTTTCCCTGTTTGGGCGTTTCTGTTCTCCTTCACCTGACCTTAAGACATGTACGATACAATTGAACAGATGTGCCGCCCCAGCCACATTCCCCACCGGCCCATCTCCTCCGCACAGAGTCAAATCAGCGGCCACACGAGACAACGTTACATCAAAAAACGCACATGATGCAAGTTTCAGCCTCGGGGAATAAATAGCATGATAGTAAGTGTGCCAGTGGGGTTGAAAGATCACCGAAGCTCCCACTTGTGATTAATAGTAGTAGTAGTCGTCGTCGTCGTAGTAGTAGTAGTAGTAGTAGCAGCAGCAGTGGTAGTGGTAGTGGTAGTAGGTGGTACTAGTACTAGTAGTAGTAGTAGTAGTAGTAGTAGCAGCAGCAGTAGTAGTAGTGGTAGTGGTAGTAGGTGTTACTAGTACTAGTAGTATGTAGTAGTAGTAGTAGTAGTAGTAGTAGTAGTAGTGGTAGTAGTAGTAGTTGTTGTTGTTGTTGTTGTTGTGTTCATGGCAAGTTGCTGAAGTTGTCGATCTCCGCCCGCACGACACTGAACTCACTGGTGTGGTACTCCGCTTTTGTGTAGTCTGGGGTGTAACCGTACGGCACGTACCAGTTCGACCAACCATGCCCAAAGTACTGATCCAGAAACTGCTCAACTGTTTCCTGCCAAATCAAAACAGACTCCTATTGAATGTTGTCTGAACCTATAGTCATGTATTGAAACCCGGTCCCGGCGCGTGGGTGGGGCAACGGTCGGATTCGAGAGGCTGGTCGGGAACGCTCTTGCCAGGATCAAAGCATCGCACACAATCGAGACTGTTTCATTGACCTGCAGTGAAGATTTAGTTTCTGATCCCAATGACTGTTATTGGCAACACCACTCTCACTGCAATCCGGTAGCATGTCTGGTCAAGTTGTAGTTCAATCCTGTGGGATAGAAGTACTGCTGCTGGCACTGGTTGAAGCCGGGGAAGCCCTTGATGCAGTAGTGAAACAGCAATGCCGGGGTGCAGGGCACTTCATCTCGTGCGACTGCCTCAATCATTCGGTGCTGCTATGGTTACATCCTGCTCTGCTTGAATAGCAACATGACCCATGCAGCAGAGCTTCCTCCAACCAGGAAGACATCTGATCCATGTGGGTGAAGGTACGCAGGAACTCCAGCATGCCTAAGAAACACTCTCATCGAACATGTTATTGACACTCCACGCGTACACCCTTATTGCCAAGTAACTCTCTGCTTTCATGTTCTTGGGCAGAGTGGTGGGACTGTAGGACTGCAGGACTGTCGCCAGGATGTCCATCCCTCCACGGCCTTTGTCAAGCCATCACCAATTCAATGGCTACAAACAACAATGAACACAAGCTGTAGCTGTGACATGTTCTTGCAAGCAAGCATCATCTGATAGCAGACTCAGCCACACCGGAGTCAATAGTCACAGTATATGTAAAGTGACGTGGTACGGATCTGCCCAACCAAGAGAACTGAGCCGTGGGATCTGCAATGGCCACACCCGGAATGTCCAGCTGGTTCCTGCAGCAACACAGGCTAAAGAGAGAACATGACTGGTGCACAAAATCATGATCAAACTCAACAATCGAATGACACACAGTCCTCAAATGGTACTGCAGCAATTCCCAATCTATCATCCGCATCTCATCACTTGTGGTGGGGACTGCATCACCCGGGACATCACCCGTGACTGCACCAGTCTCGCCTGCTTCCATGAGGGGGACTGCAGGACTGAGGACTGCACCCTCACCAGTCGGGCCTGCTTCCATCAGGGGGACTGCAGGACTGAGGACTGCACCCTCACCAGTCTCGCCTGCTTCCATGAGGGGGACTGCAGGACTGAGGACTGAACCCTCACCGAGGACTGCAGGACTGAGGACTGCATCCAGACGGAGGGCCTGGTCACTGAGGACTGGGGCACTGGGAGTGCCTGGCTCATAGCCCTCTGAGGGATGCCGGGTTACCACGAATTCTCCACGGGTCTTCATCTCGACCAAGAGTTTGGCCTTGAATGAGTGGGCCGACAACTCCAGCTGTTGCTCGGAGGCACTGGTGGACACCAGCGTCGTCGCCTCAACACAGAGAAGCACAATATAATATATATATATATAAAGACATGTCTTCCAACTTCATGCAATGCATGCATCTGAATGGCTATGGTGCCACTCGCGATCCCGGATTCCCCGGTCATGGACTGCTTGTGCAGAATGAACAGCAGCATCTGATGATCACGGAGGTTGAGATACCCGGCAAAATTCCATGCCTCAATCTCTGCGCTTATGGACTGCATGAACATAAAGCCTCAATCTCTGCACTCATGGACTGTATGAACATAAATTGTTCAGAATCGGACCGGTGTAGGTCCTGGGACTGCATCTGTGCGCCCTTGCACAGGACCATTGGGGCCGTTGCCATGAACCGTCCTAAGTATTCTCAAGACTGCTGTAAGGACCCTCACTCCCAAGACCAGCCAAGTAACACGAAGAAAGGACCCTTTTCTGACACCCCAATCACTGTCTTGATCTTGTAGTCGACCGTCAAATTCGCAATTGCAGCCATTGCGTAGACAGGCCTTCGTGTACACGTCCAGAGCCCAGACTCTGCAGAAAGTCGGTGGTCAGTGAAAAAAAGTAGCAGTACTTGTACTGTTGTTGTAGCAGCAGCAGTAGCTCCAGTAGTAGTAGTAGTAGTAG